CGTAGTAGCAATAACACTCGGACAATTCGTAATCAATCTCCCGTCCCAGTACTCGGAACAGCCGCCGTAGCCGTAGTGGTCCTTGTCATGCTGGTGGTGGTTGTTCTTGTGCTTGCGGGGCTCAAGCTCGGATGCTATGGTGATGAGCGTCGTGTGGGTTGCGGTGGTGGTGGTGGTAGCAGGAGGAGCGGCGACGACGGAGGCAGAGGCAGCGGTCATGCGCGGCATCGCCGTAAAGTCAGGCGTTGACGGCGCCGCAGGCGTCGGCATCGAAATGGGGCCGGCGAAGGCAACGGAGGCCAGGGCCAAGGGGAGGGTGATGAAGAGGCCACGCATTTTGGTGGTGGTTTGGTTTGATTCGTGTTATGAGTGGTGCGGGAAGCTGTTGTGGAGTAGACTTTGCTTTCGTAGATGGTAAGATAGTAAGAGAGAAGATAGAGGATGGATGTGTTATATATGAAGTATTCGCATAGCAGCAGAAACTTCCACAAAAAGTCAAGCCATGGTTAAGCTTTGCGTGGTGTTGCTTCCAAAGAGAAGTACTTGAGGCTCGACCATGGGATTTTGCGCAGTACCCATAGTACCGGTGGATATGAATCTTGGAACTATGGTTCAAGCGAGCATGATGTTGCGCGAAAGAGCCAGAGGGTTCGCATTATGCAAGCAACAAAGTAGAGAGGCGTGCAGCCTACATCGAGTTGAAATCATGCAAAGTAGATACGCCAACGTCAACGTAGGCTCCAGGGCGTCCACTCTTTTCTTTGAACCGAGGTGGCCTGCAGCCTACATCAAGCGGAAAAGACGCAAAGTAGCGAGCCCCACGTCAACGTATGCTCTTGGGGCGTTGGCTTTTGTCCTTGAAATGAGGTGGGTTGAGAGAACTATGGTTCAGAACCAACCATCACACGGGTATCGAATCAAGCATCACCGCCACATCATCCACCAACTCACCAATGCCGCGCAATAACCAGCCAGCCTCTCTCCTTGACCGCGTTGAACAGCACCGCGACCCGCTTCCGCTTGATGCCCTCTCTAGCCGACACATCCTCGATCGCATGCTTACCATCTAGATGCCTGAGCAGCATGGGCCAGCTCTCCCGCAGCTCTTTACCAGTTATGCCACCCAGCGCGCCATCTGCGTGTTTCGGCGGACTGGGATTCGTCGAGATGATCGCCGTGTCTTCGAACGTTTGGGCGATCTTATCGAGCCATCGCGCTTCTATCGACGACGCTTTCTGTGGCGAGAAAATGGTGGTGGGTGCGAAGGACGAGGGGTCTGGTGGGGCCAGCTTCTCTACCGGAGATGTGGGCGAGACTATCGAGTTGCGCGATGGAGATGGGGAGGTCGGCTTCAGATGTAGAGGCGACGGGCGATGGGGCTTAACATCCCGAAGCCCAAGATGAGATGGCGACTCTGCTCTCTGTGATGGCGTAAGCGCAATGGTCGTGCGTTGACTGCTCGTACTCCCGGCGTCCGAACTCGTGCGCGCAGAAACGCTCCGCGACATGGCGGTCGATCCGAGTCGTGGGCTCAGTATCGTGCTGCTCTCCATCTCCTCATCCGCATCCCGGCGCGTGCGGCGCAAAGGCGATGAAGTCCTCGCGGAGTTTAGCGAAAGCAAACTGCTTCGCTTGTCGGAGAGCAGACTATCCGCCACGGAATCGTTGTCGCTCATCAACTCTCTGCGCGCTTCCTCAGCTTTCTTGATGCGCTCTTCGCGCTCCATCTCCGCTGCGACTTGCGCTTTGATCTCAGGCGTTACGCGCACCCAAGCGAATGTGCGCAACTGCGTGACCCAGCCGCCACGCATGAGCCACGCTAGAATCTCCATGTACGCTTCGCGATGTTCGGCTGTAGGTATGAAGTTCCTGTACGGCCGTGGTGTACCGGAGAGCATGCTCAGTACTTTGGGCAGCGTAGGTAACGTAGGGAAGCGCTGCGCATATACTGAGATCGCAGCTGGGAGAACAGTCATGTCGGCGTTTGGACTGACGATGTATGTGTCGCGTGGCGATAGCGGAGCGACGAGACGTGCCCGCCGCCAGTAGACAAGATGGCTTGCTATGTACTCCATATCGTGCGCGGATATGTTGTGCTTCTTGGAGATCTTCAGCAGAGACTTGGTGGGTATGATGTTGCGAATATAGAATGCGATGGCTGCGGCGTTGCCACCGGTATCACCGCCCAGGTCTTTGATCAGCACTTCGGCATCCTCCAGAAGCAACAAGGCGGCATGTTGTGTCATCGGCGCATCATCGTCTTCAAGTATGACGTTCGAGGTCGTGAGCCATAGACCTGGCATCTGGGGTTCGATGGCGGTGGGGAGGTAGGGAGTGGAATCGGCCTGTGGGATCTGGAAGGAAGTGTTGAACGTCGCATCGAAGTGGATGTGGGCTATCTTGTCGTGCGATATCGCGTCGAACATGATAGCGATAGACTTAGCGAGGGGTGACGTGCTGACAATCTTACGCCATGTCGCCGTGAGCGACTCGGTCGTCTCCTTGGCGCGCTGCTTGATGTCGATGATGCGCTTGGATTCCTTCCACACGTACTGGAACCGCGCCTCCTCGTACTTGAGTGCTTTGGCATACTTGCGCGTGACGTTTTCGTACATCTCTTTCACGCGTTGCTGGTATTCCAGCGCAGGCGGGTTCAGCACGAAGACGACGTTGAACATGGTCATGTCTGGGTTGTTGATGTCAAGACTCGTCGAGTTGCTGCGTGCATCTGATCCAGCCTCCGACGGCCCGCTCGACATGGAGTCGTGGCCGTAGCCTGGCTCGAATCCTGGGACCGGTTCGTTCGACGGTTCGGGGGAGTTCGCGTCGTCGCCGTCGCTTGCGCTCGTGAGATTCCTGACCAGATCGCCATCCTCAAGCTTCTGCTGGTCAGAGCGCTTCTTCTTCTTCCGCTTCGCCTTCTTCCAGAGTCCGTCGTCTCGTACAAACATGGGCGCGCCTAGAAATACGATGCTCTCAACGCCAAGCTCGAAGCGCCTCTTGTTGTATTCTTTGCTCGGGCTCAGCATCTTCTCGAGCGCATCCATCTTAAAGCCTAGCACGGTATCCCAGTCGTGATCTCCACCCTTGCCTCGATGTCCATTACCGTCCTGATCATTATCGTCGTCGGCATCCTCCTCGTCGATGGTCTCCTGCTTGCCCCATAGGCCCGATCCCAGCTTGGACTTGTCGCTCACGCGGCCCGTCAGGGTCCTCCCCGATGCGCGACCGCCGCTAGTGCGACTGCCTATCTCGATATCATTGTCGTCATCTGAGTCGGTGCTGCTGTCCCATTCGCTATCGGAGCTGCGCGAGTCGACGCTGGCCGTCGACGTGTCGTGCCTGAACCAAGCCGGGTCTTTCGCGGCAGCGAGTGCGGCTGCTGAAGGTGACAGCGGTGGGTAGTGGAAGACGAGTCGGGGGCCGAGCGACCGCGACTTGGTGACAAGGAGGATGGCGTGGAGGTTGGAAGCAGGTGGCAGCGGGACAGCCATTGGAGAGTGGAGGAAGGGCAGGTGCAGCATGCGGGGAAAGAAGCTGCGGAGCACCGGGAGATCTAGCCCGAAGCAGACAGCTCTTTCACCCCATCTTCGAGGAAGGCGCACCGACAACCACCCATCAACCCAGCATTTTGCAGGCAAAGGTACGGCCCCGACAGAGTGCCGTCAATGCGCCAACGATGTCATAGTGGCGAGCGATCCCGGTAGATTGTGGACTGGAAGACGTCCTTCAGGGGACTACAGCGAGCGACAAGGAGCAAGAAAGGCATAGGTATCGGGCTTGACAATTCTGCTAATGACTATCGTCATCCCGTTCGACGAAAGAAGAGTCTAGGTTGCACTGTGCATGTTCGCGAGTTGATTCAGTATACAATGACCTCAGGTCCTACAAGGTCTTTCTAGAGCACTAAAGTAAGGTACCTAGGTAGTCAATGCTTCCACGCACGTAACAAGTTCCCCCAGCTAACGCACATCGCCTATTACAATCTTATTGCATAGCGACGAGTCACTAGAATATCGAGAAATGTCTACAATACGGATCTCACCTCCATTTACTCCTCGCTCAAATCCAGGGAACGTACCCACCGCAGACATCACACAATACTACCTAGACGAGGACTTGACCAAACTCGCAGGCTTCATCACCAGTGTACCCCCGGATCTCTTATACAACATCATGTCCGCCGCGACTGAAGCTGACCTCAGGGCCCTCCTCGCCCTCATCAACCCATCAGATCTACGAATCGAGCCCGGCTATTTGATGACCAGAACGTGCACGCGCGTATCGAACTGGCTAAGAAACGGAAACCAAAGATGGGCGGTGAGTAAGGACGTTATTCCCTGCGCGCTTTTCCTCCTACTCAAGTTTAGGGTCTTGACGCGCGATGGGGTGTGCCACTCGCAGACGCACGAGGAGAGTCTCAGACTTGCTGCAGCCATCAAGACTGCGTATGGAAATCTTTGCGACAGCAGGGTATCGCCAAAGGCGTGGGCCGATATCATGGGTAGACAGTATGCAGATCTTCAGAGTGCTGAGATTGCGTTCTTGAAGGACCTGGGCTTTAGGACGTGGGTACATGAGGCTGACTTTAAGGAGTTTGTGGGTAGGTTCGAGATTGTGTGGGAGATGTTGCTTGAAGATCAGGATGACGTTTTGTTTTGACGGCGGCTTGAACCTACTCTCGATAGGGAAAGTGGACGTAGCGACGATCTCATTATGATTTGAATTTGATTAGGTGTCTTGCGAGCGCTCCCTCGTGCGTGCGACATTGGGACAGCACAGAGCCAAGATGTGTTGTGAGAACATTGTCACAGCCAGCAGGCTTGATACACCTTAGTTAATAGTACACATCGCCATAGTGCAGATTCACGACCCTGCTTTCACAACACGACTCGCGTATGCCGTCAAGAAATGCGTTTTGTTCTACTCTCGTTCTCTTTTCCATGTGCAGGTAGTTGACTGACAGCCTTTGCTAACAAGACACCCGCGCCTGGATCGACATGGCTCCACAAGCGTCTTCTAACACCGTCAACCACTACCTCGTTCCGCCCCAGCCTTACACATCGTCTTTCCTTGCTCGTCTCAGCACATTCATCCTACATGCCCCGTTCGACATCGTAGAGTCTACGCTCCGTCCATCATCAACGCCTAGCGGTGAAACCGAACACATCAACCCCAACAGCGACACTCTACGCCCCACGCAATTCATGACAACCGTGTGCCAAGGCCTTCTCCAATTCCTCAACATGGACTTTGACAAAGCTGATCACGCCAGTCCAGATACCATCCCTCTCGCTTTATGTCTACTACTCCGCTATCGCGTGGCGTCTTCTTCCACGTCTCAGCGTGAAGACGAGCGTAAGTACGAATATGCGGTCTCAAGTCAAGATGGAAGTGGACTCATCACTCTCCCTATAGCCTATCCCACTTCCAGATCGTGTTACCGACCAGAGATGAGTGATGCAACGCTTGTTGCGGTAGCGGTGCACACGGCGTACAAGTTCCTGGCTCACGATTGGGTGAACTTGGAACATTGGGCTGTGCCACTGCAGCTGAGTAGACGAGCGTTGCTGGGAGGTGAAAGGACGTTTTTGAGAGTGATTGAGTATGCGGTTTGGGTGAGGCAGGAGAAGTATTTGCAGATGAAAGGTAGACTCGAGGAGTTGTGGGAGGAGGTGTTTAAGAAGGCTGTTAGACCGGCGCCTCCGGATTTCGTGATGAAGAGGCTGAAGACGAAAGGATGAGGTAATGTAGTTCCACTGAATGGACTGCTAAGAACCACGAATCTAGTAAAATAGGAACGATATAGAATCAAAGAATTGCGCCAGGTATACCAAAGTCAACAAGATGCAATGCCACCACGATTGTAGTAACACGGGGGTGCATTTGAGGATGTCGCATTAACGACGCGATGGAATACGACACAAAAAGTGCCATGTTAGGCCTGCTTTTTTGCTTGATGAGCAACGTCCGCTAGGCGACTTAAAGTGCACCCCCGCAGACGTGCCTCTTCTCCTTATTTGTATGAAAGCCATCGGAGCGCTGGTTGAAGTCGCAAGTATCAAGTCTGGTGAAATCGTCGCGATCGTTCCTTCAGGAGAAGATATTGACGTGTGTAATGACTGGACACCACGAGGTCCGTGAGGCCACTTTTGACTTCAGCTACCGCAAATGCCATCAGGGACAACGCTTTGAGCGGTAGCATAGCCGGGGATGTCGTATTCCCGTATCACATCTTGCTGTACGTGAGGTGAAATACTATGGGGTAAGTGCTCAACTCTCCAGCTCCACCGCAACGACGCCTTATCGAAATATTGACAGCTGGAGTTGTCGATACGAGTAAAAACAACGGTGCAGAAGTCGCCACCTTCAGCCTCGACGCACATCATGTCGCAATCGAGAACGCCGCAAAGATTGGGTGTTGAGAGGCCGTACGGCAGTGACACCCCATGAATAGCGATAATCGATCATAAGGCATGATGTTGCAATGCGTGTCTGCGACGAGAGTGAGAAGCCAGGCGAGCAGAGTTCCCCCCTCGCCTGGATGTGCACCCGACCTGAAACACAAGCGGGGGAAACACGATGACGGCGACGATCCATGCCACGCAACTGGTTGGCTCCGGCTGACGGTGATCTGGAAAGGGTGCAGACGCCACTCGCCATGCGACATCCCCGAGTACAGACGCGAGAGTGGTAGGCGCAGAGGGATGGACGTCTCCTTAAGGCTGCGGCGGCAGTCCTGAGGTTGTCTTGCCTCACTACACTCACCTCCGTCGCTCGTTACGAACTGTATGATCATGTGGGCGTCTATTGGGACATGGCTGTTGTTCGCGCACGTCTTCGTGCTGGGTGTTGCTGCGCATCGCGACTGGTGGCTGCAGAGTCTCCCCCAGTGTTGGCGGGACTGCTTTGGGAACACAGACGATGGCTGCAGTTATAGGAAATGTAAGTTCAACACTATCATACTTCACCGTATCACTGACTGATGTGGCTCCAGGCATATGTCAAACCAGCGAAAGCAGCACCTCGTACCTCTCCAGCGCAGTCGCGTGCGCAGTATCCTCATGCAAAGCCGACAAATCAGACATCGAACTCGTCCTCGGACCGCTAGAACTCTACTGCGATGCCATCGGCTGCACGATACCTGCTGAGGTGGTGGAAGACGCCTACGCTGCTGTGTCGAGCACCGCCGCAGCCGACCCTCCGAAACCCACGCACGCAGCCCCAACAACCAAGCCTGCGCCCGCCGCACCCAAGCCCCCCACCACCACGACCCAAACCGACGACCATGACGACGCGGGCGCTGATCTGACCAGCGCAATCAGCACGACTATGACAAAGACGTCGACTGATGGCGACGGCAACACGCTGCAGATAATCGTGCCTATAGTCATGGGCCCGACGCAGATTAGTACCGGCAGCATCGTCACGTCGACTGTGGCTGGTGGCACGCCAGTGTCCACGACCTCGTCGCCTAGCCCCTCTGCCCAGCCTTCCGCTCCGGTGCCGACACCAGGCGCCTCCTTTACGCAGACATCGTCGGCATCGGGGTCGGAAGAGACAGATCCTCCGCCGGCCAACGGCAACGGTAGCCCGTTCGAGAATATGCAGGCCGGTGCTGGGAGGTGGTCGCTGTCAACATCAGGAATGGCGTTTGGGGCTTTCGCTGCGCTGCTGATGCGCATGTAGATGGTGTCCCAAAGCATGCGACATGACGAATCCGAACCATTTACTTGAGGAATGCGCCAACCACCACGATGATTAGTGTACTTGCTTTTGGGAGATTCGAGGATGAGACACAGTGAGGTTGCATTGTAGTACAACAACCTCTACCGCTCGATTTGCTGTATGATACCTAGATATGATGAATGCTCGATCACGAAACATACCACCCCAAAACCGTCCTCACGATATCAATGAAGTCCTCAACACGAGGTTGTAGTCACCCCTCGTAGACCCTGATCGTCGGAATGCCAGCGGATGACTTTGGTCCACGCGCATCATCCCACCGCTTTGTCCCCGCAAGCCAATGAAAGCGAACCCAATGCCAAGTCGGTCCTCCAGGCATTGCGTTGCATTTACACTCGCAAGCTGCACCTTCTTAAGCCCCATCAACACTTCGCATCTCGCCCAGGGCCTATTCTCGTCCCATCTCGCGTGTCCAGCGGATTTGCATGTGCTTCAGCTTCTAGCTCGGCCGACGCAATTCATCCGTCCTCCGACGTGAAAACCTCCGACGGGCGACTTACCTAAAACAGGGCCAACGAATCAGCGTGCTCGCATTCCGCAACGACGACCGAGGCATCTTGCTCTCCAAGCAACAAAGTGGTCCCAACGCGTCCAGGAGGTAGCATTCGGAGCGCGCGAACGAGTCCAGTTTGTTTCAGTGCGTCATTATGCAAACGACGTGGCATGACTGAATTTCTTTCTGATACCTTATAGATAGAGCGGGCTGTCCGGCCACGACGAACGGTCAACACATCGACTTCAACAACCAACGAGCGTTTACTTTGAGTTCTTGGACTTTTACCTTCTACCTTTTACTATTTATCCCTCGACATGGCGGAGCTTGAACCTATCCCCGGCCCTCCTGGCCTGCCCATCGTTGGCAACATCACAGACATCGATGCCACAAACCCCATACAGTCTATGTGTAATCTGACACTGAAATACGGTTAGTGGTTCTCTTTTTGCATACCCACCTTGCTATCCGCTTCCTGCACAGGACTGAGTTTGGCTGCGAATCTGCGAGCCGAGAACTAATGAGTGCAGGCCCGATATGGAAGTTCTACCTTGGCGGCGAGCGTGTCGTTATCGCAAACCAAGCTCACATGGACGAGATCTGTAACGAGGAGCGGTTCTCAAAAATCATAGCGGCATCACTAGAACAGGTCCGCAACGGTGTTCACGATGGTTTGTTCACATCCTACGGACCACAAGAAGAGAACTGGGGTATCGCGCATCGCGTTCTGCTTCCTCAACTCGGCCCGCTCGCCATTCGCAACATGTTCAACGAGATGCACGACATTGCCTCGCAACTCGTCATGAAGTGGGCAAGACACGGCCCTGAGCACACCATACATGTTACGGATGACTTCACCCGGCTGACTCTCGACACCATCGCCCTTTGCGCCATGGACTACCGTTTCAACTCCTACTACTACCAAAAGATGCATCCCTTCGTCGATGCCATGGCCGACTTCCTCAAGACCAGCGGAGACCGCGCAAGGCGAGACCCCATCTCGCAGATGTTCTACGGTGCCGAGTCGCAAAAGTACTGGAAAGACATCGAACTGCTCCGCAAGACCAGTCTGGACGTCATCAAGACGAGGAGAGAGAATCCGACTGATAAGAAAGACTTACTGAACGGCATGTTGAACGGTGTCGACTCCAAGACTGGCAAGAAGATGACGGACGAGAACGTCATTGACAACATGATCACCTTCTTGATTGCTGGGCATGAGACAACATCGGGCTTGCTGTCGTTCACCTTCTACTACCTTCTCAAGAACCCCCAGGCGTATGAGAAGGCGCAACAGGAAGTCGATGATGTGATTGGAAAGGGCCCTATCACTGTTGACCACTTGACGAAGCTTCCCTACTTGAACGCTGTGCTCCGCGAGGCTCTTCGTCTCCAACCCACTGCGCCTTCGGTCGGAATGACTGCCAAAGAAGACACTACGATTGGAGGAAAGTATGCAGTCAAAGCAGGCGTTCCTCTCGTTGCATTGTTTCCGATGGTGCACCGCGATCCGGTCGCATACGGTGAGGATGCCGAGGAATTCCGACCTGAGCGAATGCTTGATGCTGAGTTTGAGCGACGCAACAGAGAGTTCCCCAACTGCTGGAAGCCCTTTGGCAACGGCATGCGAGCCTGCATTGGAAGGCCATTCGCCTGGCAAGAGGCCCTTTTGGTGCTTGCAATTCTTCTCCAGAACTTCAACTTCACCATGGAAGACGCGTCGTACCAACTCCAGATCAAGCAGACGCTCACGATCAAGCCCAAAGACTTCTACATGCGCGCGCATCTCCGCAACGGAATCTCCGCGACATCGCTCGAGCGCTCGCTGGCATCGGCTACGCTCAACGACCCACCTCCAGTGAATGGCGCACCCGCTGTCAGGAAAGAGAAGACCACCAAGGGCAAGCCTATGGCTATTTACTACGGCTCCAACACCGGAACATGCGAAGCGCTTGCTAACCGCCTTGCTGGCGACGCCGCAAACCATGGCTTCAATGCGGAAGTCGTGGACACTCTAGATGCTGTACGCGAGAGCATACCCACCGACAAGCCTATTGTCATCATCACCGCATCCTACGAGGGCGCGCCTACCGATAACGCCGCACACTTTGTCAACTGGATCGGTACCCTGAAGGGCAAGGAGCTGGAGAACGTCTCGTATGCCGTCTTCGGATGCGGTCACAAGGACTGGGCGAAGACATTCCACAAGATCCCCAAGTACCTGGACGCTACGCTCGAAGAAAGAGGCGCGACTAAGATGGTTTCGATGGGTAGCACCGACGCTTCATCAGGAGACATCTTCACCGACTTTGAGACCTGGGAGGACCAAGTATTGTGGCCCGCAATGCGCGAGAAGTACGGATCATCAGAGGCCGATGGCGAAGGCTCGTTGGAGACAACACTAGACGTCGAAGTCACCGCCCCCAGATCATCTACGCTACGTCAAGATGTTCGTGAGGCTCGTGTGGAGGAGATCGAGGTCCTCTCCGGCGGAGACGCCGGGCAGAAGAGACACATCGAGATCAGCCTGCCCTCGGACATGACATACTCAGCCGGCGACTACTTGGCTCTTCTGCCTTTGAACCCTAAGGAGAACATACAGCGCGCGATGCGACACTTCGGATTAAGCTGGGACTCGATGCTCACCATCTCCTCAGCAGGCCCCACCACGCTTCCCACAGATACACCCGTCAGTGCCATCGATGTCCTTGGTGCGTACGTAGAGCTGGCTCAACCTGCCAGCAAGCGTAATGTGCTTGCGCTTGTTGAAACCACACGCGACGAGGCCGAGAAGAAGGAGCTGGCGCGTCTCGCGGATGAAGACTTCAGCTCCGAGATCACCGCCAAACGTGTGTCGGTCCTGGATCTCCTCGAGCGCTTCCCCTCGACCAAGCTGCCACTCGGCGTCTTCCTCAAGATGCAGCCACCAATGCGCGTGCGCCAGTACTCCATCTCGTCGTCGCCTCTGTGGAACCCGAACAACGTCACCCTCACATACTCCGTTGTCAAGGGTACCGCACTCAGCGGCCAAGGCCAATACGTGGGTGTGGCTACCAACTACCTCGCGAACCTTGCGCCGGGCGACAGGCTGCACGTCAGCGTGCGCCCATCGCACAAGGCCTTCCACCTGCCCAAGGACTCCAAGAGCGTCCCTGTCATCATGATGGCAGCCGGCACCGGTATCGCCCCCTTCCGCGGCTTCATCCAAGAGCGCGCCGCCCAAATCGCTGCCGGCCGCAAGCTGGCGCCGGCCATCCTCTTCTACGGCTGCCGCTCGCCGTCCACCGACCTCATGTATGCCGATCTCCTCAAGCGCTGGGAGGACATGGGCGCCGTCTCACTCCGCCTCGCCTTCTCGCGCAAGGCAGACGAGTCGCTTGGCTGCAAGTACGTCCAAGACCGTGTCTACCACGATCGCGCCGACGTCATCGAGCAGTTCGAGGCGGGCGCGAAGCTCTTTGTATGCGGCTCGCGCGGCGTGGGCGACGGCGTGCAGGAGACGCTGATTCGGATCGCGAAGGAGCGGTTGAAGGAGAAGGAGGGGCGGGAGGCGGATGACGCGAAGGCGAGGGAGTGGTTTGAGGGGCTCAGGAATGAGAGGTTCGCTACCGACGTGTTTGAGTAGGCGTAGATAGATACTATAGAAGAGCAAAAGCGTGTACACCCGAATGACGCGAACGCGTTCTGCTTGCACCGTGCCCCGCTTACCTTCCCCACCAAAGCCTGCGCCACACCTTCACTCACCTTGACGTCTTAACAACCATCTCCACGCCGACAGCTTTATCTTGGCATCATGTCACGATATCGCGCAAAGTCTCAGCATCCCACTCTTACTAGCTGAACGAAGCTTGTCGTCCGCCCAGCCAAGGCGCAGAGTTTTGCGCATCTTGCAGCATGGAGAAGCTATGAACGAATCAGCGGCGGGTGATCCCGGTCTAATCTAATCTGATCGCATCTAATCAGATGATCACCTGCCACATCGATGCAGCTGCCATGTCCGACAACACTCCGAAAGGCTTCATACCATCGCCAAGACGTACGCAATAGGTGCAATGCGCCGCTGACACGATGGCTTGCCGCGGTAGAACCGGTGGCCTCATCGCGTTGCTTGTCGCACGCAAGATGAGGGGCTTCCCTCAGTTTTCTGGCCATTCTTTCGAGCTCTCCCAACATCTCTGGAGGTAAAGATGGCGCTGTTGGACTTGCTCTTCTCGCCGAATATCGAACGACTGAATAACCTGTTCCGATGGAGACTACTGCTACTTGCGGTGATCCCGCTCGCCTTGACCTACCTCGTGCGAAAGTTCACCAAAGCAAAGCCCCTCGACCTGAAGCAGTATTCGCATTTTCCACAACCCGAGCCAGCAGATCCCGTCCGAGGACATTGGCCATGGGTTGAGAAGATTGCAGCTGAGGGCGATCCTCGACGCGCCTTCGATGAGATGCT